TTATTCCTCTATTTCCTTCAATGAATTTAAAACGAATCGTTCATAAATTTGTTTGTTCCCAAATTTCGAACGATTACAATTCTCCAAATAACCTTCTCTTTCTTCCGAGTCTTTTGCTTCCATTCAATTCCCTTAAAATTCCCATATTCGAACGACAAATCCATCCAGTGGTGGGTTGCCGTTGAGCTGAAATTTGATCGAGACTAAGCAACAATAAGACGAAAGCCGAAAGCGCCAATTAACACGGCTTCATCGAACTCTCCACCAACAACCATGCCAAGTTGATACACAAAGACGCAAACAGGCGTGTATACAGAGTCAGAGGATGAATTGCACGCGTAAAAGGCGCAAGGAGGAGCGAAATGTATATATATACACACATAGAGAGATAGAGAGAGAGGGAGGAATGTACGATTCGCGCGTTCAGAGGCTTCATTTGAATTGAAATCAAGAACGGCTCGATTTCTGGCAGGATATTCCGCCGGCTGACTGCGACAAAGCGGCGAGATGCATCGATTTGCACTAATTATCGAGGTGGTAATTGCCGTGAACGAGATCGCGAGCCATCGAGGAGCCATTGCTGATCGAGCCGATCAATCGTTAATCGGTTAATGAAATGGAATAAACGTGCGTGGATAGGAATCTCACTTGGATCGACGAGGAGAACGGAGAACACACCTCGAAAATTTTTCCCGAATTTTTCTCCAATTCTCTCTTGGCAATTTAAAAAAAATCGAGCAGGAAGGATGATCGTCGAGAATCATAGGGTGAAATTGGACGACACTTTATTATTATTATCAACTAAAATATTAACATTATTCCATATAAAATGATTCGATGATATCATTGTTCGAAAATATTTTCACAACAACAAATGAGAATCCAATATTGAGAATAATTGAGTGAAAAAAAAAAAGAAAAAGGGCGAAGAAAGATTGGATCGAGATTGCAAGTGCAATATTAATTTCCCTTCTTCGATTATTGATTAAACGCACGTATGCATGCAAATGATATTAAATTTGTAATTAACACGATTAGTTACACAACGTGAAAAGATAGGAAGGATTATTAATTGAAGGTGAAACGTTCGATTAGCGTGGGAGAATCGTCGAGTCACAGCCGGCCTCACGGAATTCTCATTACGGGGAGTTCAGGAATATTCTTATTGGATTCACAGTCTAATAATGATTTATGGCAACATTCTGTATCCACGGGCCGGCCATCTGTTACCGGTGCGTTTCGCGGTGTTACGCGACGCAAGATGTGCAATAAACTTTGCTTCGAAACTAAATTGCCGCCCGTGTTATGCGTTCCAATTTAATGACTGCGTCTACCCGCCGTAATTCGGAACAAACAGCCGTAACATTGGCCGAAATCCATAACGAGCTTTCTACATTAGTCATTGAATCATTTAATGGCGGGCAATAATGCCGATCCAAGGATTTTCCCATTTTGTTCAAACGTACGAATACGATTGCGATTCTCTTGCTTGGAAGAATCTTTGTTTACAATTTTATTTAGCTGTGTTATTCGGGATAAAATCGAGTGAAAGTTTAAATTACAAAAATTTGGTTCTTCGAAATTGTAATAAAAAGAAGATGTTGAAACTTAAGTTGATTTCACTTTTTCAGAGAGAAGCAGGAATCGAAATAAGAATTTTCAGATAAATTGATCAAATTTCGAGTGAACGTGTATTCTTTTCGATTGCAAAAATAGAATCAAACTTGCAATTTCTTGAATGACTTGTGAATGACCTGGAATGTATAAATACGGTGCAATTCTTGCTTGGAAGAATCTTTATTATAATTTTATTTAATGGTGTTTTATTTTTGTGATTCAGAATAAAATCGAGTAAAATTTTAAATTACAAAATTTGGTTCTTCCAAGTTGTAATAAAAACACGAAAAGATGTTGAAACTTAAGTGGTTGATTTCTCACTTCTTCAGATAAATTTGACACAAAAATATTCTAATATGATGGTCAAATTTCGAACGAACGTACATTCCTTTCGATTTCAA